AGGGCTATTAAGAAGGATACTAGGAGTTTAGACTGTTTAGACTATACCTCAAGTGTCCAAGGGCAAATGCAGGATATCGCATTTCCCTTCCCCCGAAATCCTTGATTTGGAGCATGGCGTTCTCCAAGAAATATCAAAGCTTTGCATCCTGCCTTGCAACCGCAGCCCTGAGCCCCGTAGACTCCATAGACCTGACAAAACCTACTACGCTACGGGTCAAGTCACCCTAAAGAACCCTAAGCCCTGAACCCTTGACCCTAACCCTTAAGCCCCCTTAAGCCTAAATCGCAAACAACTTAGGCTCAAAGCATCTGTCCAGCAGCCTTTTTTTTTTTGTGTGTGTGTGTGTGTGTTTTTTGGTGCTACCTGGGAAGTCTATCAGCATAGTCATAGTGATGGTAATAGATGATAGTAATAGTAATGACAGTAGTAATAGTCAAGGTAATAAAAATAGTAGGCTCAAGTCCCACTTTTTTCTTCATTGCCAGACTAGGAGTACCGTGCGGCCAGAAAATTTATTCCCCCAGAAAAAGCACGCCTTTTGCAACGGACGTCCGGGACGCAGAGCCTTGCAGAACTTCACAACATTGCACCCTTAAAGCGAATTGACTGTCTGTCAGTGCACGCCTACGCAGCGCCGACGCTGCGTACTGCATGGGCAGACAGTCAATTCGCAGTATGGCAAGGGAAAAAACAATAAACTCCAAAGCTTATTATCCCCCACATGCCCGAAGCTCTGGGTGAGGAGTCTTTCACAGGTCTGGGCATCGTAGCTTCGAGCTTTGGCAGCAAGAAGGACAGGGCTTAGACTTCACATCGGATGGCTCGTCAAAATCGTGCCTTGGATCTTTACAACAAGGTCTACAGGGCCTTGATTGTGAGGCAGTCTTCATATGGGCTACTGTCAACACTCGGCTTGGCAAGGCCTTAACGGCGGACGTAGGGCCCTCTTGCAGTTTCGTAAAGTTCCTAATATAGTCCCTAATAAGGAACCCATGACCCTTCAATTATGTAGGAAATATACCCTAAACCCTAAGTATACACATGTATATATATATACATACATATACGTGTGTGCATATATATATATATACATACCCCATTAATGATGTAGAGGATATTGACCGTAGCTCATATGGGAGCCCAAATCTTTGGAGTACCCCCTTTGCTTTGGATCCGGGATTTGGGGGTTTAGAAGGAGGCTTGGCTGTAGATTTGAGGTATTGGGGATTTACCCAAATATTGGGGGGCGAACTTTTTTGAGGGTCCCCATAATCAGGAGAAGCGTATATTGGGGTTTATATCGGGGTCCCCCTATATTGGGAACCTGCCATATGGTATCCTGTACCTGCAATTCAGCAATTTTGTGAGGGCCATTTTGTAGGGTTTTGACCAGCACAGGCTTAGTGCACAGAGTTTCTGGATAAACTCTGGCGTTTTGACACTCACGGCACATGCACAGTCACCCAAAAAAGGACGACAAAGTAAGAAGGAATTTGAGCTTCAGCCCTTTCTGCTGCCCATGTCTGATACCAGAAATGGGCAGTTCCGTACTTGTGAGACTGCTAAGAAATCCCGATGTTTCTAGGGATTCAAGTGGTTCCTTGCCTGGTCTTTGTGAGTATCCTGTTGGAAACCCCTTGTTTACCTGGACTCGCAAAAGTCGCAAGGTAGGTGGAATATGCAGGGCTTTGTGACTAAAGTCTTGGTCCATCATGTTGCCTCTTTTCAGGGCCAGGTAGGTGTTCAGGGCCTCAGGATTTCGAGTTGTTTGGCTTCTGGGTTTTGAGCCCGAAAAGCTTTCACTCTCCTTGAGTGATGTTATGACATTGTCCTTAACCGCTAACGGCAGGGGCCTATATAATTCCCAATATTGTGGTCTCAGATTTCCTGTAAACCATGGTATGGGGTGTCATTATCTAGGCCCCTATACAGCCTATACTGTCCTCTACTAGATATCCAAATGCACTACAGACTAAACTCCCTGAAGGGGATATACAAGGGAATCTATAGGGACTTTTAGGGGGGTTACTATGGGGATGCTAGGAGTTTAGATCCAAAACCTTCAACCCCAAACCCTATAACAGGGGTTCTGAAGGGGGATACTAGGAGTTTAGACTATAGCTCAAATGCAGCCTCGCAAAGGGTAAGCAGCTCTTGGAAGGCAGAACCCTAATCTTGCAGCTCAGGACCCAACACTATATCTACGGTTATAAGTATGGGCCCTTATGTCTTTGATGAGGGTTCCAGGGACCCTTAAGGGTGCATATAGGTATATGTAGTGGGTATAGAAGGATTCCCGGGTTAAGGGCCCATACTAGAGGCTCATGGCTTCGTTCTACTTAGATAGTTTGCGTCTCAGGATCTACACAGAGATGCCACCACGGCATCTAATGCATTTCCTCTTCGTCTTTTTCTCCTACCTCCTTGTGATAATGACTGGGGCCGCCGCTTGGCTATGTGAGGTCGTAACTTGAAGGGGGATGAGGGGCTCCCTTTAGGACTCCTACTTCAGTGGTTTCGGGTTAAAGGGTTTAGTGTTTAAAGGGTTTCAAGGCTTTAGGGCTTAAAGGGCTTAAAAGGGTTTAAGGTTCGGAGTCTGGAGATGTCTGGAGCATGTCGCAAAAAAACCAGGAAGTTCCCTTCGATAGACCTAAAAATACTACGGTCCATGCAGTTCCCCTGTTCAGATTTAGACAGTACAGCTGTTGCAGTAGATACCTCAAGAACGCTATAGCCGCCTAGCCCTTTCTTACGCGACTCCTCAAAAACCCTCCTCCCATTTGTTGACAATATCCCAAACCTGAAGCGCTGCACCCCACAACATTGCTCTTGGGTGCATCTTAGCCTGTCATAGGCTTCTTGCGGTTTCAGGTTTAGGGTTGGCTTCTTGTTACGCCCTGCTTAGAAAGATGGCCAAAGTTCTTGTCAGATTTAAGCGAAGCTTTGCAAGGTTTGCTATGTGTTGATGCAGGAATTCATGCAGCACCTAGCGAGCCATCGCACTCAGCTACTGCATGTCCTAGGATTTGGAGATTCGGTGGGGGTACAGCATGGGTTTAGGGTTTAAGGGTTTGAGGGTTTCGGGTTTATTGGTTGGTATTCTGAATGCTCTTGATCAGCCAAAATCACGATCCTCTATCCTAAGTTCTACGATTTGGGTTTGGTAGCGGTCCCTTGCAACCCAGCCCAGGATTCCCCCAAGAAACTCTGGCACAGATGCGTAGCTGAGGGTTCCGGTCATCCCTAAACCTTAAACCCCAAGCCCCAAACCTGCAAGACAAAATAAAACTTACACCCTAAAGCCCCAAACCCCAAAGCCCTAAACCCAAATCCCACAATTAGACTTACACCCTAAAGCCCCAACCCTTAAACCCCACAATTGCCAAGGGTCCCCATTCTTGTTTCTCCATCTCACCTGGCTTGGCCTTTGTAAGGATCATCTGGTAAACTCCCGCCTAGTGTCAACCTGCACCCTCAAAGTATGTAGAAAAGGGTTTGGGGTTTAAGGTTTAGGGTTTGGAGTTTGGTCTTTAGGGCTTAGGGTTTGGGGTGTAGGGTTTAGGGCTTAGGGTTTGCGGTTGAGGGTTTTGGGGCAGTTTGCTTACCTTCCAGAATGAACTCCCATGGTGGGATGCCTCTGCACTGAGGTGTCAGGTTTATCCATAAGCCTTTAACTCTCAGACTGATTTAGGGGTTTAGGGTTTAGGGGTCTAGGGCTTAGACCAAAGTGCTCTTAGAATCTAAAAGCTCTATACCCGGAAATGGTGTAAGGCTTGCCAAGGCTTATACACCTATTCCTCATTCGTCCTGCTGGTAGAAACTGTAGACGGAGGAAGTCTTGCACCACCAGGGTTCCTTAAAATGCTCCTGTGGTTTTAGGTTTTGAAGCTTTAGAGTTTAGTGTTTCGAGCCCCACATTACGTGGTTTAGGGTTTAGAGAGACTTGCCAACCAGAAAACGCAGGTTTTTGGATCCTAGTATTAATTCTGGACAAGCTGGAGAGGCCCCACCCGGCCTCACCCTAGTGCTGGTTCATGTAGAACATGCACGTGGGCTGGCTTAGTTTGAGGTTCTGCCAATAATAAATATACATATACATATCTATATATATATATGTATATATGTATATATTGGCCAGCTCGTTCCCATGGATCCTGCATGCTTCAACCACTGAACCATGCTTTAGAAGCCTTAGCCAAGAAGTCTAGTTTGCCTCATGCCCAGAGCCCACCTTTCACTGGGTTCAGGGGCTGGGATTAGGGTTTATGCAAGCGGTCATGACCCACTCCAGAAGCGAATTCTTCAGTAAGCGCCAGTAGGCCTAAGGCTGTCAGGTGGATGATAGGGATCCCCGTAAGTATTCTATGAACACTTTATCGGGAAACTCCCTTACCTCAGCGTCGGGTCTGAAGGAATATTCCTGGTTTTTCCCCCGAACCCTATAGACCTAAATCCTAAGCCCCTGAAGCACTCCAAAGCAGGGACCACAGCAGCCCGCCACAGACGAGTAGTTCGAAGCTGTGCTATCCACCACTCGAATACTAAAGCCACCCCGGGCAATGAGCATCCTGAATACAGTACAATCATGCCCTAAACCCTACTCCTTAACAAGGAATGCTTTTTCTCGGGGGCTGAGGGCTGGGGGTGGTATGGAGGAAGTTGATCGGTCTCCCATAGGCCCATAGGCCTTTGATACCACCTCCTGAAGATGACTTTAGAAGAGAGGTTGCGTGTGGTCGTTGCGTGCATGTGTGTATGACTTTGTTTCTGGCTTGCAAGGAAGATGTGATGTACGAGAGAACCATATCCTTCAAAAATGCAGGAAGCGGACATCTAGCGTTTAACCTTAATTTGGGAAACCCCCCTGCCTAGGAGCTTTTGAGGTCCAGATGTATTCTCCCAATGCAGGATGCATACATGTAAATATGCGCGGTGTAGGGCTTAGCTGACAAGATTTCTGATCGTTGGGATTGCTACTTTGCCTCGTGCTGCCTGATATGGCGCCCCGGGTCGACCCTGAGGTCGTTCTAGGTCTTATTGAACTGGCGGATCTGGCTGGACTGAAGAAATTCATTCCTGCGGATTTTGACTGGAGAAGTCGCGGAGCACATCTACTTCAATTCACGATTTTACAGTCATGGAACGCAGAGACTGACAAAATTCCGCACTATCTCAAGATTGCTGAATGGATGATAAGCAAGGGGGCAGACCCAGCACAGGAAGTGTCACATTCTCGCAGCGACGCAGTGCCCCTTGGCCCGACGGCATATTCAAAAATATTTTACATGCTCAAAGGGGCTGGCGACAATACCAAATATCTACAGCAGCTGTTGCTCATTTTGTCGGGCTCCACGGCACAAAAACGGGAAACAGTTGAGGTTGATCGGGCGGTCCTCCAGCGATGGGAGAGCATCCGCAACAAGGCTGATACCCATAATGTCACCTTTGAGACTGCAGAAGGTCCAGTGACAGCGCATGATGCTGTACTGATGGTGGCTTCTCCTGTCTTGACAGCCATGCTCGAGTCTACCATGGCAGAGGGCACAAGCAAATGCATTCGAGTCTCAGATTCATCAGCTGCTGCTGTGGCACTATTCTTGGACATGGTGTACATGAGCGCAACAGACAGCGACCTCCAGTACAAAACAGTTCTTGGTGCCTTAGACCTTTCTCACCGATGGGAGGTGCGCAGCGTCGTGAGGGTTTTCGAGGACATATTGCAAGACATGCTTACCACCTCTAACTTCCCGGAGATTGCTGAGGCGGCTGCTCTGAAAGATCTAGAGGGCTTGAAGGAAGCATGTGCCAAGTTTGCCGAGACCGACGATGGCGTGAAAGCTTTGGTACCTGGCCTGGCTTGAGTTTAGGGTGCTGGTTTGAAATGATTGTAGAAATGGGCGTAGGAATGCTCTAAAACCTCAGAAAGAATATGAAAGTTTGTAGTACCCTCCGGCAAAAGCAACCAACCAACCAGTAAGTCGTTGTCTGCAGGCGAGTTTTGAGAGTTTTGTCTGGCTAGGTCATGCGCAGTAGTAAACTTACAGGTTAAGAAATCACCCCGCTGCAACCAAGCGTCCAGTAAGAGTGCCAAGCAGTCGATGTCCGTAAAGGTCCTGCAAGCACAGAATACATGTCGCTCTGTCGCTATTTTCCCCTGTAATTCGTGGACAATTATCATGTATTGTACCCGAAAACCTCATTGTTGCTAAACAGGCTCCTACGTTATCTGCCCAGGTTCAGCAACGCAAGCTGCACCCGTCTGTGATGAACTTTCTTGGCGCTCCCTCACCCTCTGAGCCGCCCGCAAAGAAACTGCGGACATTTTGAAGCTTTCTCTGTAGTAGACCTCGTCATGCTTTAAGATTCGAGTCCTATGATCTTGTTCGACTTTGATTTTGAAATCGAAGCTGCGCGTGCTTGTGGCTACTGCAAGTGGAAGGCCATGAAAAGTATAAAGATCCGGTCAAGGTTGCTGGGTTCGAAACACATACCTTCACAGTCCGCTAAAGTAGGACAACCTTGGGTTAAGCAGACCACGGTGCACATGGTTTTTGAGAGGTTCAGGAGGGACAGAATGAGTGCGCAAATGTGCCCGTGCTCCGCTCGGACTTCCAGCTGTAGCACGCAGTTTGCGCTGATGCGCAGAAAAATGAGACGGACTTAAGCTGCGCTCTGTAACGTGGTTGGTCTGGCAAGTTTGAAAGGTGTCAAGCAATGCACCTGCTCCATTCAGCTGGCTTGGCTAGAGACAACAAAAGTGCAGTGGGTCTGAACTCAACCAATCCCCAAATCGTTAAGCTGGACTCAGGGCGAATGCTGGTGCCTGGGACAAACCGCAGTTGGATTCTATAACCCCTCCAATGAATGCCATGAAGCCCCGGTTTAAAGGGATAGAGGTCTTGACGGGCCTGTGTTGGCGATCCATGGGCAGGTCGGTAGAACGCAGAGGGAAGAAGACGGAGGCTGTCTTCTAGACTCCAGCACGGAATTCACAAAGTCTTTAAAGTGGTATTCTGAGCAGAATTTGGCCGGCTATGCGCGGAAGCCGCCGCAGCCTAGACCTACGTCTCTATGTAGGTGCCTCCGGTAGGTATCTGGGTTTCAATTTTTGGGTATTGGGGCGTACCCTAAGCCCTCAACCCAACACCACTAAACCCTATACCCATGTCCCCTGATTTTGTAGCTGCCCCAAAGGGTCCATGTGTCTATATGGTATATACTTGGGCCCGGAAGTAGGTATCTGGTGGCGCCTCTGGGCCCTACGTATATACCGTATACCCTACATGGACCCTTTGGGTGCCCATAAGGCATGGTTCATCCCAAGAATGTAAGCAGGCCGAAGAAAGGACGTCAAAAAGGCCACCGTTTTGCCCCGTAATTTGGGAGTTCCGGGCTTTTGTTTGTTTAGGGTTTAGGCTGTAGGGCTAGCTTCTGGTGCTCAGGGGAACCTCAATCCCAAGCCATACACACCCAAGACAAGAATCAGTAGTCTGAGATTGAGGTCCTCATTATGTGCTCTCAATCCCGTGGTCTTGTTTGCCTACGAAATGCCTTTTGCTTGCACATGCCGGCCCAGATCACATCCCAAAATCGCGTAACCGAGATCTTAAAGCTAACCCGAGCAAGCATAATGCCTGAACCCTATGACTGCAAGTCAATCCAAACCATGAACTCCAACATCAAAGTTTGAATAGATATTATCTTCCTTTACTAGATAGAATATGAGCTATCATGGGGACCTTATGATGATTTCAGGGAAATCCATGGTCTAGCTACTTAATGGGATATATAAAACTATAGCACTCCCCTTAGCCGTTATGTACCTCACGTAGACCCGTACTGCCACGTGGTTTAGGGGATAGAGTTTACAACCTTCACCGCCCTAAGCTCGACTTTTCCCCTAAACTAACAAGCAACCCCTAAAACTTCCCCCTGCAAGGGGCTTTTGGGGTCTATGTAGTCGCTAAACCCCAAACTCCAAACCCTAAACCCTAACCTCCAAAACCTAAACCCCAAACCCTAAACCCTAAACTCCAAACCCTAAACCCCAAATCCTAAACTCCAAACCCTAAACCCCCAATCCCTGAACCCTGCTGGGAGATGGTACACTTCCTGCTCAGCCCAGGTTCAGATGCAGCTCGTAGATTCGTCGTTCTTCCGGGCTGCCCGGTAGTTGAATCGTTGCAGTTCCGGGCGGGGGTTTGTTTTAAAAGTTTAGGGTCTGTAGGGCTTAGGGTTTAGGTTTCAGGGTTTAGATTTTACGGGCTTAGGGCTTAGGGCTTAAGGTTTAGGAGTTTAGGGTTTAGGGGTTTAGGGTTTAGGGGGTTTCAGGGTAGAGAGCGCGAAGGGGTCTAAGGATTCAGGGACTACCTTGAGTTTAGGTTTTAGGTAGCAGCACTGATCAGAACAGTCGCAAGTTCGTGCTTAAGGCAGTTTCGTCTTGGTTGTTGATGGGAAACAGAGGAAGAGGTTCAAATCCTGGTCGGCGCCCCTATATGGATCCCCATGATATAATCTACTAACAGCCAGCAAGCATGGACAAGGCTACGCCCTAAACCTTAAACCGCAGTGTATAAGATGATTTCTAGGTTGGCAGTCTCTCCTGAAGGTTTGGGATTCGCGGCTCTCGAAGCGCAAGCAGTTGTACAACTTGATCCCTAAACCCGGTGGCCAAATCCGTGCTTGGGGCCTAAGGTTAAAAGTATGGACCCCTAGCATGGTTCCCTAGATTTTTTTGGGGGACCCTTGATAGTCGTAAGCATATGAGGATCCCAAGGTCAAGGGCCCGTACCAGGGGCCCATGGTTTCAACCTTAGATAGGGCTCCAAGAGTGAAAGAAACAGCGACTGGGGCTCAGGACTTGGGTATTTAGGATTTTGGGAAGTGCATGGTTGGCAATAGCGTACCTGACAGATCTGGATTGTCGTTGAATAGACTTTTACTTTCATGTCTACGTGCACCTGAACCAAACATAAATTTCAACCAGGAACATTTGACAACGCCTCAACAATGTTGAATTAAACCCACTTACACCCCAGATATCTAGCAAGGCAACCTGCGTATGATCCCTGTTTCCGTTCGTCCATTCTCCCGCATCAACCTAATTCCTTGCAATCTGATCCAAAAAAGAGGCCCTAGAACACTAAAACCCAAGCTCCAAAACCCTACACCGCTAGCCCCAAGCCTCAACCTCAACATCCCTAACCTCCTGAACCCTAAACCTTAAGCCCCAAACCCAGTGAACCCCATGGAGAGCCTAAACCCTAAACACCAAACCCTCAACCCTATAACAAGCGTGGCAGCGTTTGGGCGCAGGGCCCAGGGCTTGGTACCTCCTCGATTTTCTGAGGGTTTAAACCCTAAACCTTCTAAACCCCCTAAACCCTGAACCCTAAACCCGCTAAACCCTGAACC